GCTTCATTGCTTAGCCATACTTGCAAGCATTTTTGGACCTCGACATAAACTGGAAAAAGTTTTGTTTTGATCTTATAAACATATTTGTTTAAGATACTTTTTCTGTTTGGGGTCATCTTCCCCTTTGCATGCTTCATTTTCTCATGTTTTGAGCCATGCATTTGAGCATTTGCATTGGCCTCAGTTTGGCCTTTTAGCCACTGATGTGTTTTTGAGCCCTAAAATCAGAGAGGGGTGACCCTCTCACCCCTTGTTCTCTTTACTAGCCTTGTTGGCCTTCCAAAGGAGCTCCATTTTGCATGTTGAGAAGTCTTGTTTCAAGCCATTATTTGTGAGTTTCAAGGTCTGCCTTGACTCTGTCCAGAGCCCTTTTGGCCATATTTTATGTCTTTGATGCATGTGTAGAACAATCCCATTCAAGGCCCTTCAAAGGGGCCTTTATTTGCATGTGTCCTAGACCCCTTTCAGGCTCTTTTTAGTGGGTTTTAGGACCCTCAGAACCTCTGCCCAGAGGTGGTTTTGCCATTGTGTGTGTACATCATGCATGTGTAGAACAACCCCCTTATTGGCCTTTCAAAGGAGCCCATCATTCTTGCATGAATTGACTGAGTATCAGTGGTTATTTAGGCATATTTTAGCATGGCATACTTCTGTTTTTGGCTGGTTTGGTGAGCCTTCATATGCTCCATATAGTTGTAATGTAACTCATGGTTCACTAGCTTTCTTTGCATGCTTTGTTGACCCTTGATTTTAACACTTTTTGGCCATGCCTTAAACTGATATTATGCTTATTTTGGACTGTCCTAGCTCTATTTTTGGGTGTCATGGTTGAATAATGTTGGTTTTGCATGCTTGTAGCTCAATACCCATGCTTAACTTTGAGTTTCGAGGTTCATTCCATGCATATACTGAGGTGTGTTCATGTTTTGGGCTCACTATACATCATATTTCAGAGCTTGTTTGAATTCCATATTGCCATGTTTTGTACTCTTTAAATGTGTTTGAGAGTCGGACATGTATGCCTTGTTTTCGGACTATTGAGTGAGCTCTATTTCGTTGCATTCCGAGCCATCATTTTAGGCCATTTCGCCACTGTTTCAGACCTGCCTACGGTCTGTTTGGGGTTGGTTTTGCCTTTGGTGCATTGCTTTGGGTACCTCTAGTGTAACGCACTTCACTAGTTTCGGTACCCGGGCCCCCTAGCTTGCATTGTGTGCCATATTTGCATGTTTCGGGACCATATTTTATGCCATTTCAGAGCTGTATCATGTGTCATTTTATGCCATGTTTCATCCTTTACCATGCTTTGGTAGAATGGCATTTGATGCCTTAGGATCGGTCCCTTGCATCGTTCATGTTTGCATGTGTTTTGGTTGTCTCATTTCCATCATATGGCCATTGATTTGAGTGTGGCTGAGGTCCGCTCATATTGGTTTAAGTCCACTTTGCATTGTTTATGCCATGTTGCAATGTGTTGTGCATGTTATGTTGTTAGCATTGTGTATGCCATGTCTTTCCTCGCATCGTGCATGCTAGGTTGTTAGTCGTATTGAGTATGCCATAGGTTGTTAGTCGCATTTAGTTCATGAGCATTATGCATGCCATGTAGTGTTAGCATTGTATATGCTAGGTGCATGTGTGCATTTTCATCCCTTGCATGTTTGCGTCATTCAGTGGCATTACATCTAGGATTGCATGTTAGAATTGCATTCATGCATATCATGCATATTGCATTGTGTCTGGACTAGGGTTTAGTCCAAACACGGGAAACGAAGGACGTTTCGTATGCCAAGTGAGGAAACGTGCCTCGATTCCCGATCGCCAACGCTCCGGATTATCCATGATGAAGTTTAGGCCTTGTTGCATTCATATGTGCATTCATTTCACATCGAGTCGTGCAATTCGACCCCTCAGCCATCATGCATCGAGATGCGTGATTCGTGGCACGAGGATCGAGGTCTACACTCCCTTGAGCTTGTGCAAGGACGGGGAGAGTGGTCTTGCACACATATGCCACCTTTTTGGTATGACCGACCAGCATTTCACCTTGACCCTTTTGACCCCTGGTCAGCCGACCAGGTCAAGTGGTCGGCCAGCTACCCTTTGTTTTGTCTCAATAAGTGTGAGCCAGCTATGCCAGCTGGAAGCCTCAGAATGCATCCTCCATACACGTGTGACCCTGTTGGGCCGTGATTATGGCATGCTGCTTGGCTTGGCTGGGCCTGCCTTGCCGTGGCAAGGTGGCATGCTGTGACTGGCCCCTATGGCCTTGGCATGGCATGCTGCTGGCTTTGGCTGGCCTGCCTTGGCCGTGGCATGGCATGCTGCGCCTAGGCCTTAGGCATGGGCCATGCTGCCTGGCTTTGGCTGGCTGCCTTGGCCGTGGCATGGCATGCTCTGCTTGCCTTGCCCTTGGCATGGCAATGCTGCTCGGCTTTGGCTGGGGGCGGGCGTGCCTTGGCCCCGTGGCAATGGCATGCTCGGTCCCTGGCACTAGGCCTTGGCATGGCATGCTGGCTGGCTTTGGCTTTGGCTGGCCTGCTCGAGTTGCCGGTTGCATGGGGCAAATCGCATGCTTGAGCCTAGGCGCTTGGCATGGCATGCTGGGCTGGCTTGGTGGTTGAGTGCTGTTTTGCGCTTTGGCCGGGTAGGCCTTGGCATCGCGCTGCCTTGGCCTTGGTAATGGGGCATGCTGCTGGCATTTTGGTGGCCTGCCTTGGCCGTGCATGGGACATGTTCTGGGCTCCATTTCAAGAGGGCTGGCCTAGTTATGGCCCTATAGGCATGGCAGGTGGCTGCTGTCGCTTATTGGCTGGGCTTGGCCTTGCCTTGTGGGCATGGTACATGCTAGCTATTTTGGCGGGCCCTTAGCCTTGGCATGGCATGGCTGCTGCTTTTTGGCTGAGCCTGCCTTGGCTCGTGCATGGCATCGCTGTCTTTTGCCTGGCTTGGCATGGATGCTTGCTGGCTTTGGCTGGGTGAGCCCTCAGCCGTGGCATCGCGCATGCTTCTGGGGGCTAGGTAGGGCCTGTGCATGGCATGGCATGCTGCTGGTCTGTGGCTGGGCTGACTTGGCCGTTGGCATGGCCATGCTGCTGGCCTTGGCCTTGGCATGGCATGCTGTTCTGGAATTTTGGCTTGCTGCCGTTGGGCCGTGGCTATGGCATGCTGCTGGCCTAGCACACTTGGCATGGCGAATCTGCTGCTTTTTGGCTGCGCGCTGCTTGGCGTGGCATGGCATCTGCCTGGCCTTTTGCCCTTAGGCATGCGGCATGCACTGCTGGTCCTAGCCTTGGGCATGGCATGTGCTGGCTGTTGGCTGGGCTTGCCTTGCCGTGGCATGGCATGCTGCTGGCCTGGCCTTGGCATGGCATTGCTGCTGGCTTTGGTGGGCTGCCTTGGGCCGTTGGTCATGGACATGCTGACTGGCTCTATTGGCCTTGGTTAATTGGCAATCTGCTTTGGCTTTGGTGTCTTGGGCTGCCTTGGCCGTGGCTGGCATGCGCTGGCCTTGGCCATTTGGTCTAACGGCATCCTTAGCCTCGGCTACGGACTGAGCCTGCCTTGGCCGTGGCATGGCATCCGCTGGGCCGTCAATGGCCTTGCATGGCATGCTGCTGGCTTTGGCTGGGCTGCCTTGGCCTCGTGGCATGGCATTGTCATGATGCTGCTTTGGCCTTCGCATGGCATGCTGCTGGCTTTGGCTGGGAGGCTGGCCTTGGCTTGCTGGCCAACTGGTAATGCCTGTGGCCTTGGCCTGGGCATGGCAAATGCTGTTTCATATTGGTTTAAGTCCACTTTGCATTTTTATGCCATGTTGCAATGTGTTGTGCATGTTATGTTGTTAGATTGTGTATGCCATGTCTTTCCTCGCATCGTGCTGCATAGTTTGTTAGTGCATTGAGTATGCCATAGGTTGTTAGTCGCATTTAGTTCATGAGCATTATGCATGCCATGTAGTGTTAGCATTGTATATGCTAGGTGCATGTGT